TCGCCATCTTCGTAACGATCTCTATTGTTAGGAATTTTTTCTAACTTTTACGAATCTTACGCAAGAATGGATCACAAGATAATATCGTTGAACTGATCTGGTATTCTGTACGGTCAACAATTGTGTGTTAATTTAACACAAGGTGAATATATTGAAAAGTAGCAAATATTATGTAGGAAATTAACACAAAATTAATATGTTAATTGATACGGAAGTATGTATTATTTTAACACTTACAAGTGTTATTTGAACACTTACGTATGTTGAATATTAAGATTACAGAGACAAAATATTGAGACAACATAAACATAATGTATTAACTTAACACACGGGTATGTTAAAAATTTAACACAGAAATTTTAACAATGTTCGATTTTAACACAAGTACAGGATGTTTTTACCGTATAGCCTTGGTATCAGTACTCTTGAAATTATTAGAGCCACGAGATGCACTGGCAAGAAACGTACTTAGCGCCACTTAGTCTCGACGCATATCCCTAGAATGAACGTTCCGCATCGTCTTCCCTACGAAAAAAGATATTAATCTCCCGAGCGGTTTAGCCGATGTGAATAATTTAAACCACTTAAGATAACTGTGATCCTCTTATATCGCGAGCGATTTTCATATTTTCCTTATTATCTCGCGAGTGCTGTGGTGGACCCATCGTGGCAAACTTGCATCGTCGCAAATCACGGCATCATATGCGCCGAGTATCGAGCGATAAGGCGGCATAAAAGACGATAACCGTTACTGCCGAAAGAGAGAGAGAGAGAGAGAGAGAGAGAGAGAATTCCAATAGAAACGCGATCGCGGTTATTCGCGGCACGTCAGCCACTACAACATCTTTTCCGCCGTTTACAAGGGCGCCGGTTAGTTCGGAAGTTTCGGCCTTAACGTAGCGACGGCCGACGAAATTGCGGCGTTTCGTATCGGACGATCGGCGCCTTTTGCATGGACCGTGTGCGGCTTGTATTAGCCCTCCCGGCGACCGTTTAGCCGGTAATCCGGCACGGAAGCAAATAAGTTAAAGTTCGCAAACTTGCCCGGTCGTGTAAACTTAAAGTACTTGGTCGAAACGTTTAGGGGAGACACGCGCACGCCCGTCGTCCGCGGACGACGGCGTTATACGGTGGGAAAGTTTCCGAAGGCGCCGTCCTCGTGTCTGGCTGTGGGCGTTTTCGACGATGTACCTCGTTCACTTCCTACGTAGGTAGGTAGATGGGTGGGTGGGTGGATAGGTAGTGTCCTTACCTCGGTTAAATTATCGCCAGTCAGGACGTTGCTTAAACGGCCGCGCGACGCTAGCTCGTATTAGCGCGGATTCGGGGCTTACGCGGGGATTAAACGTTGCGCGCGGCGCATTGTTTCGCGAAACGGAGTTCCGATAATGGTCGACTGAGGTGTCGTTATTCGCTGCTAATGATTGCTGCATTTCCTCTTCTTCTTCTTCCTCGTGCCCCTCCCCCCCCTCTCTCTCTCTCTCTCTCTCTCTCGCGATATTGAAATTCCATCTCAGTAAAAGCGCATTCCCCACAAAAGCTTTGGTATATAACTGCGGACTAAAGAAAGATTTCGCTGCTTATTATTTTTTCATTTTGCCTTCCGGCTTCCTCCCCCCTCCTCTTTCCCAGGAGGATTGAGATGAGTCTGAATAAAATTGTTAGAAAGTTAGAAATATGTGGCGCGACGAAGAGAAATGGAAATAACACGGGGTATCCATTGGCTCCGTATCATTGGCTCTCTCAAAAAAAGTGCACGTCGTCGTGCAGTTAAATTCTAATATCCGAGATCTCGCAGCCATAATATCGGCTTCGTGTCGTTAAATATGCCGGGAACGCTCGCGGTGTTCGAGATGATCTCGTAATTTTCTCAGACAATGTTCCATTCGCTCGCTCGCGGTTATCGGTGAGAGAATCGAATTTGTTGCAGCAAATGGATATTTATGTGACGTGCATCCACCAGGGTTCTCGACCTGAACGGGTTTACGCCTCGTGAATGTCAGCGAGGGAAGAAGTGAGCGCAATCTCTCGCGTCGTTTTCTAAATAGATCGGGCACAAAGTGCATCGCGCCGTTGAGTTGACACGCAACATGGATAGTGCGTGTCACGCGTAACACTAGGTTTCTTCGACTGATGTATATTATCTCTGTAGAATGCGGACGCGCATATCGGTGAATGATTCGATTCACTTCCGTCGTGTATGGTGTAGCGATCGTTCTGCCACTCGCGATTTTTATTTCGTGTCGCGTCTGGCAGTCTGAGCTACGTAAACTTCGTATTTCTTCCCGACGACGAGAGCGTTATTGGAAAAATGATATTAGACCCTATTTTCAAAAGTCGATTTCCTCAAGAATTCGCGAGGTAACGACGAGCGTGGTAACGGCCGCCCGTGGTTTTAATCGTGTCCATTAATCGTTATTCCCGTGGCTGAATATGCCGGGGCTTTAGCGCTGCATTGGACGTTATTCCTTTACAGCGCGAGAGGCGTTTCTTCATTTATCTCGGATTGCTCGCGACACTTATCCGCCAAGAACAATTTTCGCAGAGCCTGCCTCTTTGCCGTCGGCAATGTTATTGCTAACACATGTGTGCTTAAAGCGCGAGGAAAGCGCACGAAATCTACGTCAATTTCACGAGCTCCCAAACTCTCTCTCAGCGTTGAACGTACGCGGGAGTGAGTCCCCCGCGTTCCTCCCTTTATTCGCGACGCAATAAACAATCGACGCAAGGATCAGCATAGGAAATTTCTTCGGAGCTAATTGGAATTCGATTTCCCTACATAATGATGGATTCTAGTTGGGAAATCTACACAGATTTCTCGTTAGAAGTGTAATGTTTTAACCGCGCTAGAACCGCGGCTGGGTCACTTTTGACTTGTAGATTTTTTCCCCATTTCTTTGGATTTTTATCGTTGGTAAGCCTTCTTTCATATTATAAAATTTCTATCATAAAACAATTAAACAATCATAAATTTCAAAATATTAACGTATAATTACAAATAAGAAGTGAGCCAAAAGTGCCTATTCCAGGTTCTAGTATTAAACATATAATTTTCTAATTAGGATATATAAACAGATCCTATTTAGTCATCTCCAAAATGTTCTCGAAGATTTTTTTCTCGTTGCCATTTTACACTACGATTGAACAAAATATACGAGACACTTTGAGCATTTACACTTCACGATAGTTTCTTTTTACAATTTATTTATATAATTTAATCTTCTAATCTGATATTTGGTCAAACTATCACTCAACTCTAGCAATGAAAGTTGCCTGCGGTACAGAAGGCTCCATTAGTGCTGTCCTGTTCTCTACGCATGGAGACGTCGGAAGTTTCCAATTGGATGCATTATTTCATGCATCATTACTGTTGATTATTCTGTGAATCAGCAACCATGCTCCAAAGCAGCAATCATGATGCACAAATATTTAGAAATGATGCACCTAATTGGAAATTTCCGATGTCATTAAGTCTAAGGAATGGGGCAGCATTAATGAAGTCTTTTGTAGGAAGCATGCCGCAGAAGCATACATAGCCAATCAGCATCGGTGAAAAAGAGGCTTCATCCCATATTTGGGATGAGAATAGGATTCCCAATTGGTATTGTACTAACCTATTTTTCGACAACTTTGGATATTCTATAATCGGAATCTATACTATATATGGGAGAAACTGAGAAAATTTCTATTCGGGGAGAATCTCTCTCTCTCTCTCTCTCTCTCTCTCTCGCTCGCTGTGCGCCTGTCAGGAAAGAGAGACTCGCCGAAATTACGCCGGTATCAGCCGTGGTTTAAATTCTCGCACTTGGTTCGGCTTCTCTCGGGGTTTAATCTGGGAAATGCGCTAAGTATAAAAATAAGCAACCGCGCGTCGTTGCGCGACGCGCCCAACGGAGGTCTTCTTTCAGGCGGCATCGGCCGTTTGCCAGTGTTCGAAATCCAATTTCTTGCCAGCGGAAACCCCGGGAAACAATGCGTCCTCGTTCTGCCGTCCCGATCCTGAAGTCTCTTCTTAATCTTTTAGTTCTCAGCCGTAAAGTGTCCGGCTGTAACAAGTTACGGTCCTGGAAGTGGAGCGGCTGTGCGGCGGAGAGCTGTGTGTAACAAGAACAGGACGCCGTCCCTTCGCCGTCGACTTTCGTATTGGTCGCAACTTCGTGGAACGATACTTCGCGAGTTCTTGCCGGCCCGAGGCGGGGCGACACAGAGACGTCGGTTTCGATCGCGAAAAACACGCGTCGCGATACGTGTGTTTTTCCACGCGCGCACGTCGCCGTGCGAAAATAGCCGCGTACCTTCGCTTAAAAATAAACAGCTATAGGTAGGTTGTGACACGCGACTCGCGCGGCAAATCGTCCGCCGACGTCTTCGGCTAAATTTTCGCTCGTGTCACGGGGAAGGGGGTTCTACCGAAGAGAGGTGGGGGCGGCATGACGTCGCGGTGTAAACTGAATTTCTGTCGCCGTCGCGGAGTAGTAGACTCCGAACGGTCGAGTAGAAACCCAAATACGTCCCGGCGAAACCGGCACCCGGCGCGGATCTCGATTTCCCAGGTACGTCGCGCGTCCCGGAAGGCACCGCACGGAACGTGAAATCCGATTCCTCGCGGCCGCGACAACGGCGTACTCGCGTTCGCGCAGCGTCGCTCACGTAGGAGAGATTCCCGGTGGGCGAACGAGCGAGCGAGAGCCTCGCTCAGCCTCGAGGGAGTCCGGCCGCGCGCGAAGGAGAGACGAGGCAGGTTGTAAGAGCCGGCAGAGTTTGCAACCGGCACCGCGCGGCGGTTTCTCCTTGCTCGCTCCTTCTCTCTCTCGCTCTCGCTCGCACACCACGCCGGCATGACGTTGGACGCTGTGTACTCGCGGTGTATCCGAGTACCTACTCCGAGTCTCGGCTCTCCCGGTCCTTTGGCCTTGGACGGAAAGCATTGACCTCGGCGTTCCACTCCGAGGGCACAACCGGTCACGTGGACCACGGTCTACTACAAAATACATACTTACTCGCTTACTCTCTGTCCCCCTTTCTCTCGCGAGCGAGCGAGCGAGCGCGCGCTTCATCTTGCGACTCGTAGCCGTCCTCTTGCCGGTCCTTCTCTCTCCGTCTGTTTATCTCAGCCTCTCCTTCAGCCATGATTCCTCTGAAACGTGGCGAACGCTGGATACACGCGTGGATCGTACGTAGATCGCGCGTGATGCAAACGCCCGCTCGCTTACGTGGAGCCTCGCGTCAAGCTGGAAACGCCGTTGCACTCCTCTATTATTCGCTGCGTCTTCCTGTCTCGTGTCCACGGACGTAACGCGCCTTAAACTCCGATATTACGCGTCGCGCGAAGTATCAGCTGATGGCGGAAGCGCACTGGTTCATGATGAAGCGGGTAAGAACGACGAGGCGTTACGGCGGCGTGTCGATCCCGACTTCAGAAATTGGCATTCGTTGCGCCAGAGCGTGTTGACAATCGGAATGAATCGAATTTAACGGGAACGAGGCGTGCTCCGTCGTTCCGGAGAGACGTTGTCCGCGTAATGCAAGCACGATTGAAACGCCGCTGAAGTTGCGGTAAACACGCGCCCTATTTTTGCTCCAATTATCGTCGTTTCGTCTCGCTGCTCCTTCGACGGTTCCGCTGACTTGTCTCTCCGTCATGGACCAATCGTGAAACTCTCTTTCTCTCTCTCTCTCTCTCTCTCTCTCTCGGAACATGCACAATTTACTCGGCAGGGAGAAGAGCAACCGAAATACCGATATTATTCATAAAAATCATACAGCGGCACAGTTATAAAGTAGCTCGGAGGCGTACAGTTTTATGATAAACTTCAAAGGTCTGCGTCAATGGAAGTCTGGCTAATTTATATGGAAAAACTGGATGCTTTAATTATCGCAAACAATGAATATTATTTTATGACTTGCGTTGGCAAAATATTTCAGTTTTAATGTTACGCGGCTAATTGGCTGAACTAATATTACAAACTGCAACGAACCGTTACATTTATAACGGTCTTATGTGCGTAATGTTTATTTTACGCGGTAAAACGTGCATACATTGTGTCATTAATTGGTCCGGGAAATATCACAAAGCAATTTGCAACTGAAAAGTTTTCGACGCATCAAGCAAAATATATCGAGACGTGTCAGTGGAGAAATACCGGCGTAAAAGGTGGCGATTAATGAAAGAAATACGCGATATACGGTATACCGATGAACGATTTATCGGAGCAGTGACTTAACAGATTTGCGATCGCGCTGTCGTCGTCAGCATTTACGGTAAACCGAGCGAAGGAGGGTACGTGGGTCGCCAGGTCTGAGCGCCGTCAGTGGCGCGGCGAAAAAGCAATATTGATCTTATGCTAATTTTGCTACTGAGTTATGAAGGGTTCGTGCCGAATAGGATAATTTATTCGCCTGTTAATACCGACTCGTACACACTCCCGCGGCCGTGTCGGGCGTGCGCACCGAAGCGCCCCTGCCTAGGAAAATCGGATTCGTGCCGTGAACCGAGCGAAATTTCGCCGCGGAATCGCGGTACGTCACGCGGTGACGTAGCCCCGCGATGGCATTATGCTCCGGAGGAGCGGAGACTTTTCACGTTGACGCGCCTTGTCGCAAAGGACATTCGCTCATTTCCTAGGGCGCAGTCATACCGGAACTTTCGAACTCATACATTTATAATACCGACTCCATTTTCGTCGTGCCCGGCCGTCGCGGATGCGCCATTTGTTACGCCGTCACGACGTACGAACGAATGCGCCACCATCGGATATTTACATTGCGGATCCGTTGTCAAAAGTTGCCGGAGACGCGTATGATTTGAGTTATGGTAATTGTATTTTGGAGCTAAAAGCCACGACGTAGAGGAAACCCCGATGGTCGTCGCCGAGGAGCTCGCGCGGTTTATCCCTTCCGACACTCACCGCCAATTACTCCATCGAATTTTATAGTTAGGGATGTTACGATATCGTGAAAGTATCGACATTAATATTGAAACAGGATTTAAATCAAGAGTATCAATATCATTAGTGATATCGGTCAGAATGACAAAAATATTTTCGATGTCGATACTGATATGGAAACTTAATCATTTAGAATTAGAGGAAATATTAAAAAATCGAGGAAGTGTTTGTCTTGCAAGCTACTTCTAAGGATTTCGTAGGTCTACGTATAATAATCTTACTATGATATAATAAATACTGTGATATAGATGCCAGAATACCCGGTATTAAAATGAAAATATCGATATCAACGTCACATCAGTATTATCACAACATCCCTAGTTAGAAACCTTCTCTGTTATCCGATCTCGCGTTGCAACTTACGCATTATTTTTCAAGTCTTATTAGCTTAGTGCACATATCGTCTTACAGACAGCGTAATCCATTAGAGAGTGAACTATTTGTAACTTCGGTCGATTCGAATAATCCATACTAAGCCCGTAGTTAAAATTCGCTCGATCATCGGTAGCGCGATGCGCGTGGTAAAACGTCGTGGGCAATTTTGCCGATTAGTTCCCGCCGCTTTTCCCAGCTCTCATCGATGCAGGCGTTGTCCGTTGCCCGAAGACAAAAAGAAACATTAGTAGATAGCCCTTCGATGCGGCCGTCACACAATGGGCGCCTTACCAACCCCATCGATCATTCGCCTGTCTTCGCTGTCCACCGTATTGCCTCCACTGCAGAGAGATGGTCCGCGTAGGGTCTGAGACGCAATCCGAAGTTCCGCTCGGTCGGACGTGTATACATGGTCGTAGAGCAGCATTCGACCGGCTGCTGATTCGTATTTATGGGCCTCTAATCCGAACCGATCCGACAGTTCGCGCCTTCGCGAGCCCGACCGTGGACGCATTATCGAAGTGCTCGCGGCCGAAAAAAAAGTGCCCTAGTTTTCGCTTCCTCTTCATTCCTCCCCCCCCCCTTTTTTTCTCTTATTCCTCCTCGCAGTAATATCCGCGCTGCCACTGGCGAATGCCGGCGACGTGTTCGCCGCAACAATAACGTTGCGAACTCTGACAATCGATACGATGTATGCGCGTGGATAGGAAACCGCGACACGAGTTCCGTCAGCGGTGGTTTTCAGGAATGCTGCGAATTTGTAAAATTATCGGATAACCGGCGGGGCGCTTTGTTGGCGCATTAACGACGTTAGGATGTTTCATCGTGAGCATTCGACGTGTACGCCGTGTATTCTCTTTGCCGGTATTAACGCGAAATACGTGGAATGGGGATGTCGTCGCGAAGCGTGCGGAGATATCTTCGGAGGATATCTCTAATCGCGCGGGTTCACGACTACCGACCGTTATTTCCGATAGACAATCGCCCTACCGTTTGCGTCACACGCGGCTCACGGATCTCGCGAGCGCGTTGAAAGAGCGCGTTACCGCGATTGCGCGTAATCCTCATCGTGTTACGTCGCGAAAATTGCTATTCAAACCGGCGATTGTTTTTCGTAATATTATTCCAGGCATGATCCGCGTGTAATCCGCGCTGAAACCGGGGGCCGAGGCTTGTCGTCGTCGAACTACGACATACCGACGTCGTCGGTAGAAGCTAATCACGCGTTTTGTCGCATCGCTCGGTAGGAAGGGCCACTGTTAAAGGCACTCGCCGTTTGCATGGCCATGATTAGGGCCCGCTACGTGCTGCGGACGGGGGATTTGAGGTTCGGGGATTTGTAGTACAAATACGACATGTGGACCGACCTACCAGCCGTACGACCGACCGTATAACGACCGCCGTAGCACGTACGATACGTCGGACAGCGGGCGCGCGCGTAACACGGCTATGGAGCCCTCGTTACAACTGCACAACTACCAAACTGCATTACTGCAGCCGGGAATCTCGGCGTAACTTCGGGCATAGCCCGGCCGTGGCTATTTCCCGCGGGGGTTTCCACCGTTCCGCCGGACATGGGCGCGTTCCGTGCTCCTGATTCTCAAAGGTAGCGGAGGCCGGCGGCTTCGGTCCTTCTCCCGGAATCGGTCTCTCGGTTTCGCTAGTCGACGGTGCTATCGGATTTCGGTTTTCGCCGGGCGAAAAGCCGGCCCCCGCTGCTATTGATCATCTTCGCAAACGTCGACGCAAGATGTCGACGGACGGATGTATAGATTGTTATTTTAACTTAACACTCGCGCGCGCCTCCTCCTCCTCCCCCCCCCCCCCCC